TAGTTGGTTAGCCACGTCTGGGCAACCAACTATTTTTTTAATTTATTTATTCACGAAATAATGACGGTCAATATCTGTCACGAAATATAGTCATTCCATGACGCACATATCGATGTAGCTACAGTGACGTACAAACAATGTCACACAAAAGATGACGTACAAACAATGGCGTACAAACAATGTCGCACATACAATGACGGTCACAAAACAAGGACAGCCATAAAGATGTCGGTCGTCACCCGTCATGGTTATTCTTTCATGACAGCACGTCCGTCATGGAAAACGCTATACATGACGGGCAATGCCCGACCTTAAAAGGGTCGTTTCATGACGGCCATGTCCAGTGGAAAGAAAATATACATGACGAGCAATGCCCGACTTTAAAACTGTCCGACATGAAAGGGAAACAAGGACACTCGTATAGATATCGGTCAGTGACCGACATGGTTAATATTTAATGTCGGGCAATGCCCGTCATGAAATAGCAGACTTGTTGTAGTGTTTGCGGTTTTCTTCTCATCGTACAATTTTGTGAGATAATCCCAAATCTCCTTTGCTGTTTTCTTCTCTTCTATGCTTAACAAAATTTTATCTGCTAGTGCCAGATGAAGATTTGCAATAGCATTCTCGTCCATCTCATTCCACTTGTCATCTATGACTTCCGCCGACCTTTCACTGATGGCTGCAAGACAACTATCTTTCCTCAAGATAGCCTTCATCTTCAACTTCCACAATAAGAAATTAGTCCCATCGAACTTTTCAATCTCGAACTTCACCGCCATTACTTTTTCACGATCGGTAAACAAGCCCTTGTGCCTTTCAATAAAGATGAAAAACATCTAACTTATTTTTTGATGGGGAGGATCCACTTTTTAGTGGCAACCACAGAGCATCCGATAAGTATCTTTAATACCAAAAACTACGCTCTGATACCAAATTTGTTGGAGGCAATGAAGAAAGTAAGAGAGAACTTAGAATGGAGAGAAAAATATGGAGAGAAACTTTTTATATTATGGTTGGGCACTTTGCTCAATTAAAGATTGATCACTTACAATGGGAGAGAACTCTACATAGTTATGAATAAACCTAAAGAGTCAAGGAGAACTCTAGATACTTCTTACCCTATTCTTATCCAAAAGAACTCTCTAGAATTCCTTGGAGCCTAGATAAAAGCCAAGATACTTCTAGAGTCTTTTAATTACATATTTATTTATAGAAACTTCTAGATAAATCTAGAGATAATTATTTCCGTATTTCATGTAAATACCTCAAGAAGCTTCTAGATAATAGTTACTGTTGTATTTTATTTTTAACACTCTCCCTCAACACTAACTATTCTAGCTCTTCCGATCATCCCAAATTGTTACTGGATCTACGTTTTTCAACAAAAAGCTCTCACCAATGTATTTCCATTATATCTAATAAATATGGTACATAATCAGCATTTTGTGTCTAGTAAAAACATGTCATGTACATGGAAAAATATGTCAAAAGTGAATCCAATACTTTTTCAATAATAAAAGATGTATTTAAATTGTCAAAACACTTCTCAAAGATATATTATGATGTTTGGTTATAGGGCCAAAAATACATTTGAAAATTTTAAAAACACTCAGTACAATCAAAAGTCATCCCATTAATGCATTATAGCTAAGATACAAATTTGTTTCAACTAGGAACAAGAAGTTGGTTTTCTGTGCTAAGGGCCCCTACCAGACCATTTCTATCAGTTTGTTCATAAACATACAAACAATTCAAAGAAAAAGGTGCTCATTCAACAACAAGATGCCTAAATTTCAACAGAAACACAAAA